GACCAGGAGGCATCCGAGCCACCTCAGCTGAAACATCAAATCAAACTACACAATATCAAAGGTAAAGTGAAAAAGCAAAATCTTATACAAAGGCATGAAGGTCTCAGAAACACCCCACCTGAGAAAGCAAACAAGCAACTTTGCATTTTGTTTATTGTCATGGCATCGGCATCATACACCTAAAGCAAATGAATACTGTTAAGAATAACCACAAATACATTTATTTGTTTTTCTTGTTATGACCTGATATATTCTAAACTTGACTTAGTACACATTTAAAGAGAATGGTATGAGTATTTAGAGGCCTTCTCTTGATATATTGGCTTAACTTATTTGCTGCTTTTCAACTACTTAAACATTTTCTTTCTTTATGTGGAGTTTGTGTGTTACCCCTTTAAGCTTTGCAGCTGTAACTGCGATGTAAGGCAGTTTTATAAAGTGTTGACTCTTTCAAAAAAAAAAAGAAGAAGAAGAAAAACAACTAAAGATTACGTGTTCTCCTTTCACTTGGTGATGAGTTTTGGTGAGGAAATGGGAAAACATTCAGGATGTCTATGTAAAAGGATAAAGCCTTTTTTTTTTACTTTCTTTTCAGAAATTTACTTGGAATCTTTATTTTTTTTATTTTTTACAAGTTCTGTAGGCGTTTGGCTGCACAAAACATGTGTTAGATGAAGGCAAGGGTGTAACTAATAGCGTGAGTAATTAAGAGTTCATCTGGGTGCGCACGCATGTGTGTACATCTAGTGATGTTTATGAGGTGCCCCCAGGGACATAAATCAGAATTAACTTGCATATACACATATTAAATTACACTCTTCCATATAATATACTGAAAACCTCACACAAACACTAGTATAAAACGCTCTCACATAAACTAGTGAAAACATTTACCTCTTATATAATCTATAATCTCTATAAACTTTCATACACACTACTAGAAAGCTTTCATATACACTATTAAAAAGCTCTCATATACACTACTAGAACGCTCTCATATACACTATTAGAAAGCTCTCATATACACTACTAGAACGCTCTCATATACACTATCAGAAAGCTCTCATATACACTATTAGAACGCTCTCATATACACTATTAGAACGCTCTCATAAACACTATTAGAAAGCTCTCATATACACTATTAGAACGCTCTCATATACACTATTAGAACGCTCTCATAAACACTATTAGAAAGCTCTCATATACACTATTAGAACGCTCTCATATACACTATTAG